GAAGAGTCAACATTTCACAGAGCAGGGTTCTACACTAACACCGTAGCACAGCTCTCGCTCCACGATTATGTATCGATGCCCTCACTCTCCTTATGTCTGTCCACAGACACCCCATTTACCTACTCTTACACAACCTTAAACCCACCACTATGGAGCTGAATGTAAAAAATATATTCTAACCAAAACCTCTGCATACCTGCCCACAGCTAGCACATCCCCGACAACACTTACCAACTCAAAAGAAACCACCACGAGATCATCAGAAACCACGATAACCACAGATCACCGCTCCATTTCCCCAACAGAAAATACTAACACCTCTTCAGCAGAAACCATTAAATCAAGTAATGTCACCACGTCAGCGGGCACCACCATGACCCCAAATGTCACCCCCACAATCTCAGTGGAAACCACCACTACCCTGGATGTCACCACCTCAACAGAAACTGCAATGACATCTGATGTAACAACCACCAGGTCAGTGGAATCTACTATGAGCACAGATCACACCACCGTTACCTCGAGCAAAACCACCCTGTCCTCACATGTCACCACCTCAGCAGAAACTGCAACTTCAGGTGATGTCACCACGTCAGCAGGCACCACCATGACTCCTAATGTCACCCCCACAGTCTCAGTGGAAACCACCATTAGCCCGGATGTCACCACGTCAACAGAAGCTGCCATAACATCTGATGTGAGAACCACCACGTCAATGGAATCCACTATGAGCACAGATCACACCACCATTACCTCGAGAGAAACCACCCTGTCCTCACAGGTCACCACCTCAGCAGAAACTGCAACTTCAGGTGATGTCACCACGTCAGCAGGCACCACCATGACTCCTAATGTCACCCCCACAATCTCAGTGGAAACCACCAATACCCCGGATGTCACCACGTCAGTGGAAATGACCATGACATCTGATGTAAAAACCACCACGTCAGTGGAATCCACTATGAGCACAGATCACACCACCGTTACCTCGAGCGAAACCAGAGAAACTGAAACTTCAGGTGATGTCACCACGTCATCAGGCACAACCATGACCACTAATGTCACCCCCACAATCTCAGTGGAAACCACCACTACCCCGGATGTCACCACCTCAACGGAAAGTGCCATGACATCTGATGTAACAAACACAACGTCAGTGGAAAGTGCCATGACATCAGATGTAACAACCACCACGTCAGTGGAATCCACTATGAGCACAGATCACACCACCATTACCTCGAGAGAAACCACCCTGTCCTCACATGTCACCACCTTAGCAGAAACTGCAACTTCAGGTGATGTCACCACGTCAGCGGGCACCACCATGACCCCTAATGTCACCCCCACAATCCCAGTGGAAACCACCACAACCCTGGATGTCACCAAGTCAGTGGAAAGTGCCATGACATCAGATGTAACAACCACCACGTCAGTGGAA